ATTCTCCAGATGCTTTATTTTAGCACATTTTGCGTTATTGTTGGCTGTTTAATTACAAAAGACGCTTGATTTTCAAGTTGAAAATGTTTTTGTTTAAAAAGTAGACTACTGGTGTTTTTATTGCCTAAGCCAATGATTTTAAAATATTTTTTCATGTTTTATTATTTTCTGACTATCCAGCTTTAAGAAAAGACCAACTATTAATTAAGCCAATTGCTGATTCTCAGTGACCAAAAAAATAACTAGTCATAATCGTCAGTCGACCATGCTTGGACGCCATTTTGGGGCAGTTCGCTCACTTTTTTTTTTTTGCGGGAACATTGGTTTTATTAAATAAACAGTACGAGGAACACAACGATATGCAATTTATAGGGATTTGGAGGGTGGTGGGGGGTGCACGGTAGGGAGGTCTCGCACACAGACTAGTCACAGATTCCCAAACAAAACACGACATATATCTTATTGATACCTGAAAACGATTAAATCCAAAGGCAGTGCTTCACTTCATGACATTAAAACATAAAACATTAATTTATTTAAATAAGAAAAAAATTAATTTATGTGAAATAAATATGAAATTTCGAAAAAGTTTATAATATTGATTGAAAATTATGAAAGAATATCGATGACCTGCTTGAAATATTTGTAATTGACTAAAATGCATTATTTTAGAAGAGATGAAAATACCTAATGTTTGATTTTTAACATTTTGAATATACCTCATTTTGATTTTTTTTTTCTCTTATCTTTTAGTAAGTTTAGGTGTACTTAACTTAGGAAAAACATAGTTAAATCAAATATTAAATATTTTAAAAGTATTAATGCATTAAAATTGTATTTTAGTATTAAAAGTAAAGATGTCGGCTGTCAGTTAGATGCTGTGTTATGAATTAATTTAGTTATAGTCTTTATATAATATGCATAATACCTCACTACACAATTAATAATTTATCAACTTATAACGTTAACTAAAGAGCACTCACTATATATACAATATGTTGAACAAAATAATATTAAAATCCATAGAAACATAGAGCGAATCAAAACCTGAATCAATAAAAAAACACCTGATAAATGGAAAACAAGTTGTCTCAATAGAAGAAAAGTATAGTTAATTCAATCAATTCAAGTCTCCGTATTGGATTTCGTGAAGTTTTGCACAGCTACATCCTGAGAGGTTTTGAGGCTCTTGAATATTGAGCTAGAACTATCAAACATATTAGCCTTTCAATCGACTGAATGACTAACTCCAATTTCAACACTTTTGATTATTAATTTTAGTGGTATTTCTATTGAAGAAACGGCTTTATTAACAGTTAGACATTTCAACACTGCAATCATCTGCTCTGAGATCAATTTACTTAATGTCTGCACAGATATTATAAATTTTCCATCTAGATAAATCACGAAAATGACTTTAATATAAAAAGTTTAAATTTGAGTTAGTCATTCTGTCAACTGAAAAGTTCGTGAATTTTCATACCAAGGCTCATATAGAATGCACGAAATTTTCAATCATTATTAGAAATATTTGAAACAGTCTTAAAGAGATATTAGAGGAAACTGAATTGTATCAAAGTTAATTTTTAAGAAAAATACTTTTTATAGAATATAATTTTGCCAGTAAACCTTAGAGGCAGAGGAAACTAAATAAGTGAAATAAATTATATATAATGCCTAAATTTTTAGAATTAAGAATCAATCGACTTCACATATAGTTTGTTCTTTTTGATAAAATCAAATTTATTTTATGCCTTGTTTCATTATTAATCACGTTATAATAGAAAATTTTTAAAGTATATCAAATTGTTCTGAATGACAACCTAGCATTCCGATGTTTTTATGTCTGTCGCTTTAGTGATGGTTATTGTAAAAAAGAGCAATAGCTATTAAAACAAAACACTTACGTCTACTTCATTTTACTTTCTATGAATCAAGATGAACGTCAAATATAAATATGATAGATGAGAAGGACGCGTAATAATACAATGTTCTAGGTAGGGATGAGTGTTACTGGTGGGAAGGGAGAATGGAAATGATTTCCTTTGTATCATTTGAATTCATCATTGCTTATTTGTAACTGAATCAGTGACTAGTAATAAAAATACTGGCTCATTAATCTTGCATTTGATTATTTACACTGATAATATAACATCTAATTTTGATAATGATAATTCGTTGTCGCTTAATCACCTCCTCTAACTACAAGAAAAGTAGTATAACATTAACTTATTGGTCTTCCTTCCTGTTTTTGATGGTGGTATTTTCACAGGTTGACCTCCTGAACCATGCTCTTTCTGAATTTTTGAAAATATAGTTTTCCAGGATGTCAGTAGCCTTCCAGCAATGGTCCATGGACAGCCTGTTTCAAAGAAAGAAATATCGCTCCTCTTGCGCCTTCTGAATTTGAGGAACCATTATCTGTCCTTTAAGCTAAATAAATCGGCCATATTGATCCTAAAGAAATCGTCTGTGAAGCTGTAGGGTTTTTCAACCCCTAGTTTGGTTTTTCAATTCAGCCAAGCGGCTCTTAATGGCGAGTAAGTAATATATGAAAACAACTTACGGGATTCTCTAGTGGGCGGAGCTTAGACAAGGAGATTACTCTCAAACCTTGTTTTAGATTAATTCGATCGCGCGCCCTAATTGATAACTTTATTTCAATTTCACTACCAAAAGGTTGCATGCCCACTGAAAGAGTCTTTCTCAAGTTGTTTTCCTATATCAATCTCTTATCACCATAACAACTATAATCATTGTTCACATGGTGATTATTGCTTTTCAACGATTTCTGTTTATTGAAAATAATGACCCACTGATTGGCTTTATTTATTACTGTGATCCTTAGACTAAAAGAAATACTAATTGAATTTATAAACAATAAAATAATCGTCTTGCCTTTGTTTTTTCTTAGTATTTGGCTACATTGTATAAAAGGAAAACTTGGAATATTGGTAATATAACGATATTAGTAGAAACGTGGATTTTCCACCACCGAAACACCTTAATGCTACATTTCGAAGAAATCAGTGTTGTTTCTATTGAGTCCAGGGGTACCCAGAAGGGGGTTTCATTGCACAGATTGTGCCATCTAAATTTTTGAGAGGGGCACATTTTAACGGGATTTTGAACTTTAGAGGGGAGTGCATTTCGACGGGGTTATGAAATTTCTGATTAAAAAGTTTCAAACCAGGAAAGAAAGGGAATATATAAAACAAATCTCAACAAGTGCAATTGTATACAATTCTAAGGTTTTTAAGTCATTCAATGAGGAAGCTCTGTGAGACTCTATTGAGGCAGACCTAACAAAGTATACTAGGTAATTCGTAATAGAGCTGAGTGTTAACTTGGAAATGTGAATGGCTCATTAGGAGTGGTTCATCATTAATTGACCACTGACCTAGCATCAGGGGTGCTCATCCTCTCCCCAAGGTCTATGCTGCAAGAACATACATGTCCCACTCCTCTCAATATATTTTATTGCTAATTTTTTCTTAAAACCAGAAGAAGCTAAGGTAGTATTAGAAAAGTCGTAGATCATATACAATTACATTTGCTGCGGTCTGCTCTATGTTCCCCCCTTGTCACTTAGTCCAAAATTTCATAACTCCATCGAAATATACTCCTCTCAAAAATAAAAATAAACCGTAAAAGTAGGTCCCCTCAAAAATTAAAAAAACCGTCAAAATACAAATACGTCCCCTCAAAATTTTTGATTTCGCAACTTGCGCTGGCCACCCCTGCCAAGCAAACCTTAATGAAGAAATTTGTCAACAACTTTTGAAAACTCAAATTACCATTTTCTCATACAAAAATTACTATATGAAATGAAAGTGGTATATTGGAATAACCCTAAGGAAAGAGTATGCCGGGAAAACAAGCTAGCTAGGAAGCTGATGACAATTGAATTCATCAAAGAAAACGAATCAAAAACAGTGTGTGGCCATACCGACGCCTGGTCTCACCACTCTCCTTATCTTCCTCTATCTGTTCCTGGCCTAAACCAAGAACTTTGATTTGGCTACAATCAACCAGCTGCGATACGATGTTCATAGTACTATGGTGCTACAAAGCATAACTCATTATTAATCCGTTCCAGAAGGTTGAATTTTTAATTTAGAACTTTTCTGTGAAATTAGGCCAGCTCTACAATACATTTCTCGATACAGATAAAATATTTTTAGAACTGAATGAGATTGGTCCATTACTGTACCATTCCGCGGTACAGTTCCCTGATTAACTTCTTTTTAAAACTTCATGAACGGCTTCATCTTATCTTAATATGCAACTTTTTTATTTATGACAATTCTCAGAAATGTTTCCTTATTCAACTAATTAATTTAAATTAATTCATGAGGTACTAAAACTCATGAATACCCATTTTATTTTTACCTGAATCGTTGATCGTTGAAGATGATCACATTACAAAATCGAGAAAAAAGGTGGCCTACAAACATATTAGGCCTATACGTATAGCCACGTTATTATGACATATTCGGCGGAGGTCATGCCAAACAACATTTTTGTTTGTCATAATTTTTCTCGATTTTGTGACCAAATTATCTTAAAGTGCGTTTAGACATTTCACAAACACTGGGAAACACAATTATCTAATTTAACAAACAGCGAAATTATTGCTGCATCTGTCTATTTTATTTCTCCTGATAACGATAGTAGATGGAAAATATAAAATAAAAAAGAAACAAAAATACTAGCATAATGAAATGTCTAAATACACCTTTATGATTCAAGTTTTAAAAAAAGTTGTAAGCAATCAATGATATATCTCCTAGAAAAGTAATGTAATGTTAATAACCTTCAGGAGTTGTATTTACCTTCCCCTTATATGAACGGCGTGATTGGAAAAGTTTACATTCATAGTATAAATACTCTTTAATTTTACCCAACCAATTTTTATTTTCTAAGAAATAATTTGAAAAATAAACTAATAAATAAGACACTTAAGTAACTGTATATTTTAATTTCTTATTTGACAAACTATGATGTCTTGCTTAAAATCGAGGTCCATTTTTCGGGCCTTATGTTCTCCTATTCAGAATAAATGGTTTGATTTATGTAGAAATGTAAATCAGTCTGCATTAGATTCAGATTTGAAAAAAGAAAATATTTTGACGAACATTGCAGACCCTCCTCCAACCTTAGGACAAACTCCTCCTAACTTAAGACAAAAAATCAACAAAATGGATTTTAATAATCAAACACTAAGGTAATCTCTCCTCTAAATGAGTTGTTGAATGCAAAAGTGAATCACTAAGCGAATTAACTTCATGCTTTTGAATTGTTCGATAGGACAAGATCCTTAACTTAGCACAGAGCTTTTCTATGGTATTGCTTATCCCAGTTTAGAGATGGGTGTGATAAGTTCTTAGCTGCTTTAGAAATTTAGCCTTGTGCTTGGAACTATATCTTTTTAACAGAGATAATCATGTTATTCAGTATTATTACTATTATTATTCCATACCGACCTTTATAGAACTTCCCATAAAGATTTGAATATCTCAGGTTTTGATTTACACAACTTTTGCATTCAAAGACTCAAATGTTTATTGATTGCTTTAACAAGATCAATAATAGTCTAATACTTAATAAATATTATTCAGTATTAGTCTAATTTTTCGATTGCTGTTAAAATGTTTTATTGAACAGAGATAAGAGCTATCTATTTGCTATTCCATTAGAAATAAAATATTTAACAAAAGAATATGAGTATACGTAGTGTAGTTCCTGGATTGAAAATAAATTTAAATTTGTTCTAGTACTTTGATGCTTCAAGTAAAGTCAAGAAAGATGAGGAAGAAATCAAATCTCATGTATTTTGAAGGAAAACTCATTCTGAAAGAGGCATTAGAAAATGGTATCGATCCTTTGGCGGTATTTTTTTCAAGAACAGATGATATTAAATCTTTCAAGTTTTCTGAAAATACTAAATTATATAAAATGCCTTATAACGAAATGAAAATGTGGTCAGATTTAACAACTCCTCCTGGGATTGTTGGTATGTTTATTATATCATTGTAATAATTATTTTCAAATGAAAAAGAAATGTTTTCCAATTCAGAAAACATTTCTGGAAGTATTATAAAAATACTTTTAATGTTCTGGCAACTATTTTTTTTTTTTTTTTTTTTTTTTTACAGAAAATTGTAAGATATTAGATTTTTTTTTCCATAGGGTGAAGTGAAATTGTTCCTTTTTTGGTTCAATTTATATTACCGATAAAGGCTTGAATCCAATGTTAAGGGAATAAATACATTTTATATGTACTACTTATTCAAAAACTAAATACTGCCAATTAATTTATTATAATTATTCCCTTACTGATCTTAAGATATGGTAGAACTTGAGATATTTAATAACATATAGCTGTTATAGCTTTATCTGTTGTCACAGGGAATAGGTAGCAAATTGCCAACTCAGTACTGAATTTGTTGATGACATTAGATCTTTCTTCATACTTGGCTAAACAATGTCATCGATTAACTCAGTGCTGATTTTAGGAAGTTGCCCTATGTATAAATTTTCAGAAACATTATCACAGTGAATACAGCAAAGTTCAAGGATTTCTCTCATCATGAAGATAGGCTTCTATCAAATGAATGTAGAAAGCGTTGAACAACAATGTAAATTATTTTTTTTAAAACTGGATTTACTTGAATTATGTAGAAGTTATAATAATGCACTCCGTTGAGAAATGGGAATACCAAAGTTATCAACTTATTGCCTGTGACAACATATAAGTAATTAGTACATTCTAATGATTTGTGTATATTTGTTTCAGCTGTATGTAAAAAGCCTAGTGTCACTAAAGTTGACAAGCCAGATATACCTGTCACAATTATTTGTGACAATGTTAGAGAACCTGGAAATTTAGGTGCATTGATAAGAAATACAGTTGGTGCTGGAGCAAAGGATGTTATTCTTAGTAAAGGTTTGTTTTTAAAGATTTTTTTATGTTATTAATGTTTTATTTTTCTTAATGTTCTTAATGAAACTAATACCTCGTATTTTTGGGAAAGTAGGTTTTTAATAGTTATGTTATCGTTGATGTTAATTAATATTTTATTGTATAGACTTCAGCAATATATAAATTTAAAAAATTTGTATATATATATATATATATATATATATATATATATATATATATGTATGTATACTTTCACTTTCCTTTATCTGAAAATACCTATTTATACTTAAAAAAAGGTAGTTAGTGAAAGTTGTTTAATACACACACAAAGTTGTTTAATATCCACGCCGCACCAGATTTTAAATTTAATTTAATTTAATTTATTACCTAAAAACTTTACATCTTCAAATTCAGTTGAATCATATAACATCCCGAGAGTGTTTTAAAACATATGTCCCAATGTATAGTTACTTATAATTATTATTGATTAAATAAGTTTAATTGTCATGATTATTTTTTATTATATTTTTTTTAGGGTGTGTTGATGCCTGGGATCCAAAAGTTATTAGGGGAAGTTCTGGAACATTGTTTCGATTATCAGTTCTTGATAATATTGACTGGCCTGACATGAAAAGTTACATTCATAAAGATGCTCTTTTGTTAGTAGCAACAAATAAGTTTAGTCTTAAAGAAAGTAGCACTCCAAATAACTCTTGTGTAGTGCCTTACTATGAAGTGGATTATTGCAATTATCCAAGTATATGCATAATTATTGGTGGAGAAACTGAAGGTATTAGTGAAAATGCTCTTGAATTAATGTCATTTTATGATAACAAAATGATTAATATCCCGTTATCAAATGAAGTAGAAAGTCTAAATAGTGTATCAGCCTTAAGTATAATTTTATTTGAAATTAAACGTCAAATTATGCGTAACAAGGGACCATAATTTTCTTAAATGTCTCATTTGTATATATAATTTTATTTTTGTATAAATATATTCATTTATTTATTTTATTCTTGTCATATTTTCCTTTTTGATCTTATAATTGTATTATCAAAATTATGTTGTAGTTATATCCTTATTTTGCAATATAATCCCTTATAAAAACAAGATATAATTTTAGTCTTTTTTCCTTAGAATTCTCACTTGATCAAAAGACTTAAATAGACAATATCTAATATTTTTCAAGTCTATGCAATGGTATTATAACTAAACATAAAAGCGAAGTGGGTTGGAATTTATTTTATATATATATATATATATATATATATATATATATATATATATATATATAGGTCTGTAGCGTCAACTGAAAAAAAAAACACATATATATATATACAAATTTTTTCGGTTGATGCTATAGACCTTGGAGATCTTTGGCAGCGAGACAGACATATGTTGCTTGTGGGAGCACAGATAGCCTGGGTGAGGAGGGAGAGGGGGGGTCACATAACCTCAGGTTGTTACAAACCATGGTCGCCATGGTGCAGTGACAAGCCACCTAGAGCTGCATATTCGATTCCTTTGGGGCCAACCTGGCTGTGTCCTACCCACAGACTCACTTGGGTTCAAGGACAGTGACAAATCGATCTAGACCAATGGATTATGGTTGCTCAGAGTCAGCAGACGTACAAGGACCTATATTTCTTTCTCTGAAACAGACCGCCCATGGGCCGAACCTAAGGGGGGCTACATCCTGGCAAACCACATCCTGATTCCCGATTTAAGAACACGTAGAGTCATCAGTCCTATGCCCGGTCGCTGTGAGTTGCCACCAATAGGCTGGCGGGCCTCACATACCCGGGGAGGGAGAGAGACCCGGGCAGTATGGATTTCCTTGGTGGACGGTCACCTATCCAAGTACTAACTATGCTCGACGTGGCTTAACTTTGATTACCTATTGCAAGCACCTACCCCCACCCCTTCATTATATATAAATATATATATTTAAAATTAATTTTGAGTGAAAACCCCAACCAACTTCTCTTTAATTATTACTGCAGTCAGCCATACGTTCATTTTTATGAATAAACGCAATTGAATTAAATTATAGTTTATGCATATCAGTAATGCTCTATGTTTTAAAATATTCATCATATTTTGATGGAAATAATAATGAGATTACAAAAAATGCTTTGTCATAACTCTGTTTCAATAAAGAGTCAAAAATAAGATCCCTTAATGACTATTGGTTCCAAGTTGCACATTCTACTGGATCGCGAGGCCTTTGAGAATATAAGGCAAGATTGCAACGTAAATAGCAAGGATGAACGGATATTTTCTTGGTGACAAAAAAACTGGTGATAAAAATGTATTAAGTTAAAAAAAAAAAAATTAAGCATCCTATGACGTAGACAAATAAATAAGAATATTACCTATAAACCAGAACATATATTAGTAACTTTGTAATAATTAGTGCTGAAAAATATCCAAATTTTAAGTAACAAATTCTATATAGGATACTAATGACCCTCTATGGGTTGATGATTTTCTAAAATAAGTTTTTAATCAGTTCCATTAATAATAGACCTGAATCTATCAAAACTCTGTGATAGTTACTCTACAGCCTAGGTTCGATTGTTGTTTAAGGTAAGTTAAAATTTATTGAAGGAATTTTCATTTTTCATCACCTTAGTATTTGCTTAAGTACAATCATTCTATTATCAAACTGATTTCTTATAATTTAATAAATTAAGAACTAATTAAAAAGAGTTTTTATGTTTCATTCAAAACTATGTAGACCATCTTCAGGCCTACACATAATAGTCTGAAATGAAGAATCAATAATTATCATCATAATAATTATAGCTAAAATGTGAAAGATACATGAAAATGATAGATAACAGAAAATAAATTTAAATATTAATAAATAATATTGCGTATGTTATTGGGTGTTACTAAAGTTATGATTTAAGAAATTGGTAGGGTGAGATGGGTATGGTCCATGAAGTCATAATACACAAAGTGAAACTTGTGTGCTAACGTTTCCATCTGCTTTAAAGTTCTTAATCAGTCCTATCTTGAGATATCAAAGGAATCTCAAGATGAATGACTGGTCAAACACCAGCATAGAAAGAAAAATCAAAAAAATTAAAATGAATGTCCTGGTGCATGATCTGGGATTAGTGTCTAACTCATGAAGAAGGGTATTAAGGATAAATAGAGAACTGCTTACAGACAATGACATGCCATTATCTCATTACAAGAAGACAAAAAGGTTAATATGGGCAGAAGTTGTGGATCCAAGATAATCTCAAGAGTGTTTTCTGACTCCATGGGTATAATAGTCCAACTAGATGTAATAGATGAGTATTTACCTGCCACAGCTGAATTCGAATTTGGACTCAGCAATTAGGAGTCAAGTACCATACCTATACTTATATACAGTGCCTGCCTTAGATATTTGGCGGTCATGGACAATGACGCCATCTCCCCCCCCCCTAAAAATATTAAATTTATTTCTTAAGCTGTTTAATATTATGTAATATTTGAATGTTATTGCATTCAGCATTCTCTAATACAGTTGCATTATTGATAGGCCCAAATTAATTATTTTAATATGTTTTGAGACTTTCTTTTATTTCTTACAAGTGGCAAGCGCCCCTAAAGATAGACCGGCGCCCCTCCAAGTCAATGGCGATTGCCCCGGTTGCGCCACCCTAATAATGTAAGGCCGGCACTGCTTATATACCTACTGAGGTATCCTACTTTTCACAAATTTGATATCGATGCTATGAAATAGTAAAATAAAAAGTAAGGATTTATTACTTCCGGCATGTGACACTAGATAACTGGTTTAAGATAGTGATTATTGTGATAAGTAATTTTGAATCGATTAAAACTAAAGAATTTACCGGCATTTAATTTAATAATATCTCACTTTTTTTATTTTTTTTTTTATAGATATTGTATCAGAACTTGTTTATATATTTAAATTACATCTGGTTTCAAGTCAATATTACTCGCAAAAATCTTGATGTTTTCCTCTTGTTGATAAGCACAAACCTACGGTTAAGATTTTTTGTTGTTTTCATCAACTTATCTGGTGTGGGAAGTACCACACTAAAGTTGTATCTGAAAAAAGCATCTGATTCTGTCTATGTAGCTCCGAACCCTATTCATACAGAGTTAAAACAGATTTAACAATTTCATCGGACTACTCCCATTTTTAAAGTACATTACGTCACTATAGTTTTAAGAAATATGAACTCGTCAATGGATCTTGTGTTCCTGGTAAATAAAGCTTTTCTGGCTACCCTCTTAGTAATATTTCACCATAGAGATGATAAATATGCAAAGATTATAATTGAATCAACTATATGTGAGTTGTTTAGGACAATAAAGTTAGAAAATTCCTGAAAACTGTAACAGCTCTTCTCCCCCCCCTTCTTCCTCAATAAAGCCGTGTTAACCCCGAAATTTGTTATTATGAGGATATTCTCTAAAGTTATTTTTCGAAATAATAATCAATTTTTATATGTTATACCATTATACTTATTTAAATTAATTCACGTAATTATTGCTTAAACTTGATATGATTTTCACTAACGGTTGATGTATTAACCAATGAAGTTAGCGAAAACTTGGGTTGTAAGGAGATGAACAAGGTTCTCAAATTTCTTTAATTTTCTTTTAAATGTAATTTATGTTTGTATTAATAAATAAATGTAAGTCATGTTCTTGCCTTTGTTTTTTTTTTCACGTTATAACCTATTGATAAACGTTATCAATTTCCTTAGCGGGAGAAATGATAATGTTACTAACTACAGTGCTTAATAATTTATTTTCGTGTTGTTTTTATGTTGAAATGTTAGGTGATCAGATTTTTTAGAATATGAATATTTCTGGAGGTAATTTGTTTTGTTGTAAAAATGTTATTTTTAATGTATTATTTTTCAGTAATTTGCATATATAAGATATTATACTTTAAATTGTGAATTTAGTTTAAGGAAGAAATAAATCTTTTTATCAAACAAACAGATATGCCATGGCTTAGAAGATTTTCTTTATCTTTCCAAGCTACTTACTTTTTGATCTCTTTTCTTTTCAAAATAGTTAATTAAAAATTGAGCAAGTTTTTTTTAAATTTTTCTTAGTTATATATCCATTACAGTATTTTAAACAATAAATCTGTGTGAAAAATAGTTGAGGTTCACTTGTATAGTAGTGCTGAGGCTTTAAGTTAATAATATTTTGGAAATCTTTTTTCTATGTTCTAATGCTGTCAATTGAATTTATTCAATGGATACTAGTAACTTGTTTTTGTCATATAATCTAGATTACTTACATCCTATTGATCCTAAACTTTCTACAATGTGTCATAGAGAAAAAGTTTATTGTTTTATTTTGGGACTTTATTAGCAAAGTAATTAGAATTAGCCTATAACCACAACAAAAACTAGAAAGATAATAATAAATTGTGTCATAGTTTCTGTTTATATCAAGTGATTTATTTGGACAATTTCTTATTTTTAATATTATTCTGCTGGATATTAACTGGGATTTTATATAATTTAATAATCTTTTTGTTTAGAATTTTATGACGTGTTCGCTTATATGTGGATTATTATAAAATAAAAAGGAACTTTTATTATTCATTTTGTCTGTTTTACTAGTTTTCCTATGACTCTCTCCACAGTACCTATCACAGGCGGATCTACGGGGAGAGAGGGGAACTTTCGGGCTGAAGCTCCTCCCCAAAATTGTAAAATATAACCATGTTTTATAGAAAAAAATATTTAAAACTATCTCTTAAATTATTGTTGTTCGTGTGATTACATTTAATAGGACTTCAAGAATATGAGTAGTTAGTTTCTTTCTTTTTATGTTTCAAATTAATTATCGTTATGTATATGAAAAAAAATCCTTCGGGCTGAAGCCCCCCAAAATTAAACCCTGGATCCGCTTGTGGTACCTATTGCCACACTAAATATTTTGCTCTTATC